GAACCGGGGGCGACGCCAACAGTCCTAATACGCGCCATCCGTTCACAAAAGTCACTAAAATTAATCTCACTACGAGATTCACCAAGGGACAACGGCTGATCCGTAAGATTTTCACTAAGCAGCGGAGGAGAGAGATTCGCTAAACAATAATTCACCAAATGCCTTGTCCGGTGGCTAGCTAGTCGGCAGCGTCGTGGCGGTCAGACATGGAACAGAGGAATGGGAGTATAAAGCAGAAAAAGCACTATATTAATTTAACGCACCAGAGCTATATTCTTGTAACAATCCATCAAAAGCATTTAGAAAAGATAGCCAAAAGAAAATTCACATAAGCTAAAAACATGCGGCAGGATAAAGTAACAAACAAGAGCGGTGCAACGCAAATCAATCCAAATTACCCAAAGTCTTATGATAAATTAACAAAGCAAGGAAAAAGATTCGATATAAACCAAAGTGAAGTTAAAGAGTGAAGTGAATCGGAAAGAAAAACGCAAGTAGAGATAGGCAAGCAATAGAATGATGAGCAAACGGAGAAACATAAGTAAGATAGTCTACCAATTAATTATATGTATTGAAATTCGAAAGGGTGACTCTATATAATTCAAGACGCTAAATATACGAATTGTAATAATGAAAAGATTGCAAATCCAAATAATATACTCAAATAAATCTACTTAATTGTGGAAAAATTACAATACCGAATTTGCTTAAACTAACGCGGAAAATACACTACGAAAAATACACTAACAATGCGGAACGAATCCACTAAGCATCACTCGGACATATTATAATATTAGACAATAGTCCCAGAAATAATTTATAATAATTTTCTAGCATGGTTTACAGCGATCTACGGCGCTTAGCATAGAGTAGCACGGCGGGTATCGCGCGTTAGACGGCGCACGCGTGAGCGTCGAACTCGGCGAGTACATTGGCGCGGGCGTGCCGTGTATTCGCGGGGAGCGGTGAGGCTCGTGACGCGCTTGCGGCACAGGGGCGTACCTAGAAATTTGACTTTAGGATACTTTTCGGAGAACTAAACCGATTATTCTAATATTTTCACCAACGGTGGTAGATAAATAGGACGGATCACGAGCGCAAAAAAAAACATCCGAATAAATACACGAATAAATAGAAATCACGAACAAAGATTCCGGCGCAATCTCTACTACAAGTCTCTAGGTTTTAACAGACTTTTACGCGAATAGGAAAGAGTCCATCGCATCACCCGGACAGTCGAAAAGTAATAGAAAAGCACGCGAAACATACAAAATACAAAATAGATAACACCAAGAGATCATATAAATAGCGAGAGCATACAATATAAGGATTACAACTAAAAGCATTCTATAGTTGCCAGTTTTAACTCTTTTTGATACTATGAACTTATTTCTGAATACTCATTGTGGCGATTAATTTGCCGTGTTCAGAAGGAATGGCTAAACGGTTGGCGAAAACACACGCGGTCGCCCTGAGGGTCGAGTGTGTATCTCGAGAACAAAGGATTCCGAATCGTCTATTAGGCCAGAGGGGCGCTCAATATTCAGCAATTAAATAATTTGGAAAATCTACAAGCCATAAGCAGCAACTAGAAGATGCGAGATATCAATAAATTATAATACCATGAAGAGCGCGGCGCTACTGATAGATTTTACTATAAAAGAAAACTTAATTTGGAGATAGATTCTAGCATAGATTCTACTTTAGGGCCTCATACGGCAAAAATCGAACAAGCAGAAATTATCAGAATACTAACAAATCGCAAAGCCCAGCACTATCGTCCTTCTTGCTAGCCCGATGCGGAAATACATTCACATCGGGACTCTCAAAATCGAAGATACTTCCGCTGAGGCAGAAGGCCTAAACGGTAATTTTTTACTAACACCAAGAAATTATTTCGCCAATTTATAATGGGTAGTCAAGGGTCTCACTAAATATCGTAGCTGCAATGAATAGTACGGCCTCAAGAGCCAGAAGGGCTTCCTTCCTTCCTTCCCTCCTTCCTTCCTTCCCTCCTTCCTTCCTTCTATATCTTTTACTTTATCAGTTCTACTTTGTTTCTTCTCTTGCCTACGCTTACTACTTTTCCTATATTACCACCACTGGCTAAGAAGCTCCAAAGGTAAGTGAAATACTATTTCAATTTCACTGAGCTCGAGACCTCTTGACCCCCACTATTTACATTATTTTGGGCGCTGGCGGAAGCGTGACAAAACATCGAACTTCGAACGTATTAATTGTTTAAGGGGTATTTCACGGTGAGGATCATCGCTAGTCACGAAGATGACCTAAGCTGTCGGAGGCACGTTCTGGAGTCTTTGGGTGCTGCGATCCGTTCGTAGGCCAGGGGCGCGGGAGTTCACGGTGCTGGCTGCTCTCGCTCCCTGTCTCCAGCGGTACATCGGCATGAGCCCGCCGTAGACTTTCTCGCGGCCTCGCGGCAGAACGAGTAGGACAAGTGAATTCCTGGTCGGCGGCGATGGCGGCGTCGATCGTAAGGCGTCCTAGCTGGACGGCCGGCAGACGAAAGCATAAGCCCCATTCCGTGTACTCTGGAACTATCCTGATTCCTTGGAGGCAGCAGCCCCTCCTCGTGAAGCGGCGGCAGTCGGTCTCCAAGGGTCACCAAAAATCAGGGCCTCTTTCCTCACTTCCCCCGTTTTTCGGCGTCGTTCCACCAGCTCTCATACCAATTGGTTGCATCAAAGCGTTATACAGTACACCAAAGAAAGAGAAAAAAAAGAAAGCAAGCAGTATGCAATAAAAACAAGTAAATAAACATTAAAGCGGACGACAGGCTGGTTACTTAATACTAAGGAATCTGTGCGCCTTAACCTAGGACCGACATTTGAAGCGTCAAACAATTAATTCCTACATTCCTACTCCTGCGGGTCGTTTGTGGCGTGGATTTACAAAAATTCACGTCACAGTATGTATGTTCATTTAGTGATTCCCCTTAGGGTTTCAAGTTTCCGTTTCCGTTTCCTTTCCATATTTTCATCCTTAACCTACTTACTTGCTACTTTGTCTTATCGTATCTTATCTTATCTTATTGTACCCTATCCCATCTCTCTCCCTCGCTCGCTCGCTCGCTCTCTCTCTCCGCTATCTCTCCTCTTCGCCTTACCCTCCTCTCTCTCCTCTCTCTCCACTTTTATACGCCAGTCTCGCCCCTCCGCCCCCGTCACGCCACCCTCGCATGCTTCTCCTCCTTCCTCCTTGTTTGGCGATTGACGGCTCAATCGGCGGTTGATGTCGCTACCCCCCTACCCCGATTGCCCCCTCAGTCCCCCACTTCCGTTTCCTTTTCCACTAACTCTATCTCTTTTTGCTGCTTTCACTCTTCTTTTTCTCTTCTTATTCATTCACTCACATTTCCACTTCTGATCCCACCCTCTAATCTCTTCTTTCTTAGACTTTCAAGTTCTTTTATCCACCTGTCTCCGCTTCCCCCCTCTTCCAGTATTTCTTTCACTATTTCCCCTATTCATTTCACCTCTCCAATTTCTCCCCTACACCTGTCTAGCACGTGGTCCCACAACTGACTTTCCTCTCCGCACACTCTGCATATCCTCTCCTCCTCTGTCCCCCAATACTTTCCTTCTCTTATCTTATTCCCTAATCTAAATCTTGTTATTCTGCTGTACCTTTTGTCGCTTTATGTCGCTTTTAGATACCCCGGTATTCTCGCTACTCTTACCTGCCTGTACCATCTGTTGTATCTTGATTTTTCAATCCGGTTGTATCTCTCCCCTCCCTCTTTTACCCTCTCCTCTTTTTCTTTCTTATCATACCCTTCCTTCTCCTGTTCTTCCTCTCCCCTTCGTTTTGCCCTTCTTCCCCTCTGAACTCCTTTCTCCTCCTTTCCCATTTCGACCCCCTCTCCCCCTCTATTCTTTCTCTTTCGCTCATTTCCTCTAGACAAGCCCTTTCTATCTCACTGCCCTTTCCTCCCCTCAGCTTTCGTTCGTATGCCCATGCTCTCCTTCCTGCTCTTATCTTCATCTTATCTCTTTTCACCTCCTCTCTTACCATATACCCCGGAGTTCTCCAGTGCAGTCCTAACGACCATCTGATGTATCTTTCTTGCAGTATTTCTAACTCATCTCTCTCTTCGGCTCTCTCTCTGTCATGGCTGCCATGTGCGGTCGCTTGTTTCAGCCTCTCTGAAATATTCTCAATTATTATAGTTATTCTCAGTTTTTTCTCATGATTTGTTTGTGCGTGTTCATCGTACGAGTTTCCGCGGTTACCTGCGTGTTCCATTGCACTCGTGCCTGTTAATTTTGTGCCGTTATATGCGCTGAGATAACTCGTTGTGTGTCTCTGCTCAGTTCTTCTCGGTCTATGTTTTCTGTGACGGCTCTTGGGTGCATTGTCCCACACCTGGAAATACTTTGATTAATTATATTGTGCGAGAGTGCTATAGAATTTTTTTTTATTATTGATAATTTTTACCGTGAAGTGGTGGTGTAAAGTCACAACGTGGTCGAATTACGGTTGACAGTTTGAAATGACAGTTACCAGCTGCTATAACTGACACCTTGACATTACTTGCATGTTTTCGCCTATCTCTCCTTAGCGTGGGCAGCCAGTGGGAACGTAAACAATAATCTTCCTTACCAACTCGACTGTGACTGTTCAACTGCCAGTAACTGCTAGACTAAAGCTAACTAAATGACCGACGTGTTGGTTATCAGATGTCACCTCACCTCATGTGACACATGCAAGAAGTATCTAGCAAGTGTAACTGGAATTAAGTGCAAGGGTTTCGAGTGTAATGCCATCCTAAGTGTTCCCAGCGCAGAGGTCTAGGGACTGGCGACTTCCTCTGTCTTCTCTGCACTGAGTCGCATTCGGTAGTCTCGCCCTCCAAATTTCAAGGCAGCCGGGAGTCTGCCGCTCCTCCATCCGAAATGTCTCGTCACTCGTCTACTGCAAAGGCTGCGGCTGGTAGTCATCCTTCGGGATCGTCTCTCTCTTCTTCTGAGGTACTATCTATGGCCGAGGTTCTACGAGATGTACGGATCAAGCTGGGTGAACTCAGAGATCTGCCTGTCATAAAAGGCATGGTGGCTGAACTTACCACAACTACCCAGAACATCGCTACGACTGTTAACCAGCTGTCCAATGACATGGCAACCATAAATACCAGATGCAGCGCTTTAGAAGCCTCCAATATTGCACTTGTTGCTCGATGTCAGGCCTTGGAGGAAGTGAATGCCTCACTTGGTCAACGATTGGAGCAAATGGGGCAGCAACTCCTAGAAAACCCTACAAATGTGGTAAACATGACCTCTCTCCACGACAAGATCGAGCGGCTTACTCAACAACAACTCCGTCAGGAAATTATTATCTCCGGGCTACCTTCTGTTGAGGGCGTCCCTATCACTGAAATGATAAAGAAACTTGGTACGGCTCTACAGGCCCCGACTGGTCCAACAGACATCGTGGACACCTATCGCCTCTCACCGAAACCTGATGCGGCACCTCCGCTAGTTGTGCGGTTCTCATCTGCTTTCATCCGTGATGTCTGGATAGACCAAAAACGGAAGAAACCACTACTTACTGCCTCGGAAGTCCTGCCTTCGCTGCCCAACACCAAGGTCTACGTAAATGAGCGTCTCTCAGCCTACTCGCTCAATCTTCTTACTGAAGCTCGTGCTGCCGCCAAACCTCTTCGTGGTGCCAAGGTGTGGGTTCGTCGAGGAACAATCTTCGTGCGAAAGGATGGCACCTCTGCCCCCATCAGGATACTGGACCATGATGACCTCGCCAGGATCATCTCGTGACTTGCGTCTCCCCCCCCCCCCC